ATCCTTTTCTCCTCCTTCCCCAACATTATTTGACTGAAGAAAAAATCGATCGTTCGATTCGATATTTTAGGCGAATTGACTGAAGAAAAAAATCGAGCTTGCGATATTTTAGGCGATTTGCCTGAAGAAAAAAATCGATCGATATTTTAGGCGATTCTTTGGAACAACACCCTTTTCTCTTCCTTCCCCAACATTATTTGACTGAAGAAAAAAATCGATCGTTCGATATTTTAGGCGATTCTTTGGAACAACACCCTTTTCTCTTCCTTCCCCAACATTATTTGACTGAAGAAAAAATCGATCGTTCGATTCGATATTTTAGGCGATTCTTTGGAACAACACCCTTTTCTCTTCCTTCCCTTTTTTTTTTTTGCTGAAGAAAAAATCGATCGTTCGATTCGATCTTTTAGGCGATTTGACTGAAGAAAAAATCGAACGTTCGATTCGATATTTTAGGCGATTTGACTGAAAAAAAAAATCGATCGTTCGATTCGATATTTTAGGCGATTCTTTGGAACAACACCCTTTTCTCTTCCTTCCCTTTTTTTTTTTTGCTGAAGAAAAAATCGATCGTTCGATTCGATCTTTTAGGCGATTTGACTGAAGAAAAAATCGAACGTTCGATTCGATATTTTAGGCGATTTGACTGAAGAAAAAAATCGATCGTTCGATTCGATATTTTAGGCGATTCTTTGGAACAACAACACCCTTACAACACCCTTTCCTCCTCCTTCCCCAACATTATTTGACTGAAGAAAAAAATCGATCGTTCGATATTTTAGGCGATTCTTTGGAACAACACCCTTTCCCTAACATTATCATACCCGCCATCGCCATGGCGATAAATCTGAGCGTGAATATCATCTCCTTTATCGAGCGGAATCCTCGAACGGAACAATACCCATCGTCAAGTTCACGCCTGCGTCCTCGTCGCGGAAAAACACACAGGGGTGGCGGGCGCACGCACACCCCTCGTGTCGAGGATAGCATCGAAACGCATCGTTTGTCCATCGAACACGCGCGTCTCGATCTTATCACGCTCCACGGATCAAGAGCTCGCCCCCCTCGTCCCTTCCCCTCGACGCAGCACAATCCGTTGGGTTTGCACGCCACGGGGGGAGGGGGGGTTAGTTTTTTAGTTGGACAGTTTCGTGACATTCGTGCTTGATCGGACGCAAAGCGAGCAAAGGGAAAACGGAACGATCCTCGCAAGTCCTCTCAAAGTCTTCTCTCCCTCGACGAGTTGCGAATCGATCCATGCGAGCAAGATCTTTTTTATTTTTATCTTATTTCTATCTTATGGTTTTCTATGCTTCGATTCCATTCCTGTATTTCCAGATTTTGATTGCAGATAATGTTGTTGAAGATAATGGATCGTAAATATGGTTTTTTTTAAAGACTATTGTTCGATGAATTTTGATTTTTAGTTTGCATGAGAAGATATCTTCAGAAATTCGATATAGAAAATCTCTTTAATTTTGATTGGGAATTATTTTCATAATAATAATGAAATATTGAATTCTGGATATTTTCGAATATATATTCTAGGATATCTTGGATTTTAAATTTGTATAAGAGTATAACAAGTGATATATGGAATAATTTCGATCTCTTTCAGAAATTCGATATAGAAAATCTCTTTAATTTTGATTGGGAATTATTTTCATAATAATGATGAAATATTGAATATTGGATATTTTCGGATATATATTCTAAAATATCTTAAGACGAATACAGAAAAAATAGATATCGATGAATATTAAATATTTATTGGTAAAATTTTCACTCAAAAAACAATCACTTTATCTTTTATCTTTAAATTCCCTCTTAAGAGAGCTTTAACCTTTGGCGCAAATTTTAAAAACACTTCGAAAATTGTAGAATTTTCAAAAGATTGGAAATGGAAAACGTATCCAGAGGAGAAGATCTTTACTCCTTGTGGCGCGTTAACGAGTTTAGCGCGAACAAGGGTGGTTCGTTAACCGGTGGTTCATCCAGCTTTGCCTAATCTTGGCCAAAGGCTATGTCGCGACTCGGTGAATTGCCTCTTTATAATTACGTTTTTTCAAGGGAGAACGTAAAAAAAAAAGGAACGTATGAGAGAGCGTTAATATTCGTGGGATATTTTTGGAGGATCGATCTCTGGAGGAGGCTGAAAAAACATTGTTGTCGTCGTCAACATCGTTGTTTATATCGTTGTTATAATTTTAAATACAAACTTATCGTCACACTGATTTATTTATTATTTTGAATTTCAGAAAATTGATATTAAATCAATTTTCAATTTGAATGGATTTTTTTATCGAGATTATAAAATATTCTCTTCGAGTGAAAATAGAAGATAAGAAATTCTCTCGAAAATACAATAAAGCATCGATTAATCGAGGAGACAAAATCGAATATAGGAACAATTCTCTCGAAGATTCTTCTCCTGTACACGAGAAACGACCTAGTTTCTTTTTCTTCGTTTCTTTTTTTTTTTTTTTTTTTTTTTTTTTT